AATACAGGCAGAGAAGGAGGAGATGTGGGGACTCTGACTTTAGGCAACAGCCTGAAAGTGGATAAAGCCCTGAACTAACCCAGAGGAAAGAGGCTAGGAGAGGGATCCACCTGCTCTTGCAGCAGGACCATCTTCATCCTCTGGCTCTCCTGCCTTTCCCAAGCCCCGGGATGGCTGCTCCCAAGCTCTGGGCAGCCAGAACACCCTGCTCCAAGCACATTTTGCACCAACCAGTGGGATACTGGAGGAGTTAAAGCTCCCTCAAGGCTGGGCAGCAGCTGAATGGAACTTTGAAAACCTGCAGCTTGCAGTTCAAACCCCCCACCGAACCTCCCCTGCATCTTCTTTCCTAGCATATAATTACAAAGGCTGCTTCACCCTTGATGAATGCTCCATCGCAACCCAAAGAGTTTGCAGGCAAATCCACACGCCTCAGGATTGTCCTGCTAAACTAAGATGATCACTCCAGAGCTTTCTTCTTTACAGCCTGTCACTGAATTGCCCTGGCAATGAAATAATGATTTGTGTCTTTGTTTATATCATGAAATCAACATAGAGTCACAGAATCACGGAATGGTTTGGGTTGGAAGGGACCTTAAAGCTCATCCAGCTCCAACCCCTGCCACAGGCAGGGACCCCTTCCACTAGAGCAGCTTGCTCCAAGCCCTGTGTCCAACCTGGCCTTGAACACTGCCAGGGATGGGGCAGCCACAGCTTCTCTGGGCACCCTGTGCCAGCGCCTCAGCACCCTCACAGGGAAGAGCTTCTGCCTAAGAGCTCATCTCAATCTAATGTAAATGTAATCTCGGCACTTGCACCATGGTGGATAGCAGGGAACTGAGGCTATGTGAGGCTCGGCAGCAGGTGCTCAGAGGAGAAATGATGGATGTGGTTTAAACATCCAGCGAGGCCCCAGAATGTGCTGATAAGAATCAAGATGTTTGGGATCTTCACAGTGTCATTTCAGCCACAAAGCCGAAAGCTAGCTTACCAACTTTGATGGACAATTGATGTGGTTCAAGGGCTTTATTAGACTAGAAAAGGAATGTGCTTTTTTCGCAGGCTGATTGAGGAGCATGGGATATATATATAATGCAGAAGGCTGATGATTACACAACAAAGAGATGGGATCACCACCTGCCCACATTCTTGTGATAAGCAGATGAAGAATGTCTGTCAAAACATTAATTCCCAAATCTATTGGGGCAACGTGGAATACAAGTACAAATAAATGCACGGGGGAGCGTGCTTACTTCAGCTCACACTCAGCCCAACACCCAGTGCCATGATCCAGTCGGCACATCCAGCCAGGGGCTTGGCAGGGGTGTTATCAACAAGCATGCTCAGTGTGCCCAATGGTCTTTATTCCATGGCCTCACCACTGCCATTCCAAAACCTACATGCATCGAGGATGATGAAGATGATGGTGATATAATCAGGTGAAGCTGTCCAGGGGGTGATGGCGATGCGAAGGAGACCCTGGACCCAAGGGGTGTACTGGGTATCCCACGGGTGTCCCCCCCTCTGTTATGACTCTCCATCTTGGATGGCAGCAGGGGAAAAGGGGATTGGAGGGAATAAAGGCTGTGTGTGCTCCCGTCCGTCCATCCATCCATCCATCCATCCATCCATCCATCCATCCATCCATCCATCCATCCATCCATCCATCCATTCATCCACATCCATCCATCCTTCCACGGGCCACCACAGAGTGCAACAGGCTCCGCGCAGCCCCGTTGAGCCCCATTCCCACCCCACGGAGCCTCTTCCCAGCGGGTGTGCCCGGGCCAGGGCTCGGGCCCCGTGTCGTGTCCCCCCCCGTCCCTCCTCCTCCTCTTCCTCCTCCTCCTCCGCCCCCCCCCCCCCCCCCCGCCCCTTCCCTCGCTGCGTCTGTTTGTACTTTAGCTGATCCACTAATCCCCCGAGAGAGCCTATTTGTAGTGAAGAGTATCTATAGGGGGCGAGGCTGGTCCATGTGGGTTTGTGTCATTGGTTTGCAAGGAGAGACCCCGCCTATTGCCAAAAAAAAAAAAAAAAAAAAAAGGGGAAAAAAATAATAAAAAAAAAGAATTAAAAAATTGAGGAGGAAAAAAAAATAAATAAAAAAAGCAGGGAACGGGAGCCCCTGCCTCCTTTTCCCAGCGTGGCGAGGGGAGCGGCCGCTCCGCCCAGCGCCGCCCGGGCACTTTCTTTCCCCGTTTTTTTGGGGCTTAAAAAAAAAAAAGAGGGGGAAAAAAAAAGGGGGGAAAAATAAAAAGGAAAGGGAAAAAAAAAAGGGGGGGAAAAATCCCACTCCGGAGCCAGCGGTCCTCACCCCCCCCCCCCCAAGTTGCGCTGAGCATCCCCCGCTGCTGCTGGTGGGGCCGCGGAGGGGTCCGCTGCCCCCCGGCCGCTCCCGGCGCGGCCGGGCGGAGCAGGAGAGCGGGGAAGGAGGGAGAGAGGAGGGGGGGGGGGGGGGGGGGGGGGGGGAAGGATTAAGTTGGGTTTTTTTCCCCCTGTTGTGTGTGTGCGAGCGGTGGATCCCGGCGGATGCGGGCAGGGATGCGGCGCTGAGGAGCGGGGCGCGGGCCCCGGGAGCAGGTAACGGGGCGGCGGCGGCGGGAGGACAAGGGAAGAGAAGCGAGGACATCTTTGCTTCTTTCCAAATCCATGCTGATGGAGGAGGAGAAGCGAAGGAAGAAAGAGAAGAGCGGTTGGGGGGGGGGGAAGGAGGTGAGATGGAGGGGGGGGGGAAAAGAGGAAGGGAAAGGAGGGGGGGGGGGTGATGGTGGTGGTGGTGGGAGGCGGCCGCGCAAGTTGCGCGGGCGCGGAGCGGCGGGGTGAAGTGGGAAATCTTTTGTTGTGCCGGGCTCCGCATTGTTTACTTAGTGCCGAGCGCCGGCGACAGCATCTGCCGGGGGGATTAACGGGGAGGAGGCGGCAGGAAAGTTTCGGCAACGGGAACCCCGCGGGGAGACGCGGCCGGATGCTCCGCGGTCCCCCGGACGCCGCGGATGCGGCGTCCCGGGGGACCGCGGAGCATCCGGCCGCGCTCCTCAGGGCTTGTGTTTTCCTTTAGGGGGTTTTACTTCTCCTCCCCCCCCCCCATATTAATATCTTTTTCCTTTCAAAAAAAAAAAACAAAACAAACAATTTCCCGTAAAATATTATTTGTATGCTTTTAAAATTTCTTCCCCGTTTTTAAACGTATTATTTAAAATTCCCTTCATTTGCGCGGCATCGACCCATCCATCGCCTCCCAACTCTCCAGCGTTAGCCGGTCGGCAGGGCACTATCCCCCTCTCCAGCGCTGAAAACACTGAATTTCCTTAATATTTATTGATTTTATTGATTATTCCCCCCCCCCCCATCTATTTTAAGCCTTCCCTTGATATCCCTAGAAAGCAAAATCAAAGGAGCTGCATTGATGTGTGGGTTTCAGCGTGTTCTGTGGTTCTTCCCCCCCCCCCCCCCCCAAAAATCTATCTCAATTGAAAATTTAATACTTGCTAGACTTGCTGAAGGGGAAAGAACAGCCTTTTGTCCAAGCAAGGACGTGCCCCAAGGTAAATCCTGCCCAGAGCTGAGCTCTTAGTCCTTTCCCGGGTCCCATGGCTGCGTTGGGAGGAGGAAAGCGGGAGATGGAGATCTCAAAGTAGTAGAAGTAATTTCTTCTTTCAGCTCGACTTCTGCCGCTGCCTTTGAATTGCCAGCAATGAATGTACGTAGCTCTAATTGAAGTACTTTAATCATTCACACTTGATTAAGTATACCGTGACCGGAGGAGAGGAGGGCGCAGGGCTCCCCAGAACGCCAGGGATGGGATGACATTTTAATCCTGTGTTTTAAAAAACATTAGCGAAGCAGGAAAAACGAGAGCCGGGGACGGTTCGGGATAATGGACCCTTGTTTCCATACAGATGGTGGCTCAGCGCCGGGGTTGAAATTGCAGCTATGGCAGATATTTAGGGAGGAATGAGAAAGAAAAAACCAAGGGGAGGAAAAGGCACGTACTTTTCAGTTTGTTTAAGCAGAGCGAAGAAAATAATGCTGGAGGAGATGCCTGGTGACAAAATGCTTTTGTTCCTGTTTCCATCAGTGCGTAAGGGCGCCGACCTGCTTTAGCATTCTTTAAAGGTCTCTTTTCCAAGGAAAATTGAAGACGGTCTCATTATAGGAGAGTGTGTTCGGAATACCATGAGCTGTTTATGAATTCCGAGGTGGCTGCTGAATCGCCGACATTTCAATTCCACATCCCTTGGTGTGTGTGTGTGTGTGTGTCCCAAAAATAATAACAGGAATTGTTTGTGGCGATGTGTTCTGTAATCTGTTATTACCACAAAGCTGATTTGTGCTCCAGCTCCGGAGCCGACCAAGGGAAAAACTGAATCAAATCTCAGACAAAGATTGGTGTTTCCTTCACCTCGCAAAACTTTGTGCCGCAAGGGCAGCCCCGAGCGCCGATAAACGCGTTTGTTTGGGGGCTGTCAGCTCCCATCAGGGCTTGTCTGGAAAACCTGGTGTTGGCAATGCAGGGAGGTGTTTATAGAAAGGAGCTTTTCTTTTTGGAGGGGTTTGGGAACCCACCTGTAAGTCATTACCAGGGAGCAGGACGGGGGTTCGCCTTCATCATTAGTAAATGCTGCACATCTGGGGCTTGCGGGCAGCTGCTTGCTCCATCCCAGTCTTCAGCCCTGGACGACCAAAGGTTCTGTCCCTTTAAAAGTCCTAACCAAGTAGTTCTAAAACTGAACAGAAAAGAGTCCGGAGTGGTGAAACCCTCCTGTGTCTTGAAGCGTGGATTGCAGGAGCTGTCGGCTTCCCATTTTCCCCCTGGAATCACAGACTGAGATGGTCCAGAGTTTTATTGTTGACTTTACAGCATCCACACCCCAGGTGATGTTTTCTCGTGACTGCTTTCCCCTGGATCTAAAGTAGTTTTCCTCCTAGCCCAGCCTGTGTGGGATCCCTGAGGATCGGCTCAGGAGAGCAACCCCTGTGGAGCTCTTACCCCCACCTGCTTTTGCGGGGCGAAGTCCTGCCCTTTTCCACTCGTGCTTTTCCTACATGGAAAATGTTCAAAGGTATTTGTCCATAGGGAAAGTTGTAGGTTGTCTTTAATGCTGCCGTTCCAGTACAGACTCATCACTGGGGTCTGATGATAATATTCCTTATACCAGGAAAAACATCAGCCTCCAAGTATGAGGTCCCAGGCACGACTTGGAAGTCGTGCACTGAAACCTTTGGCCAGGAAGTTTGATTTATTCATCGGGCTGGCTGCAGTTCAAATAGAACTTCTTCAGTTCAGCTGACTCCAGTGAGAATATGGACTGCAAGGAAAAAGAAACCCCTTAGATCTGTGTTTCTCCAGCCTTTTGCAAAAGGTAGGTTAATTTGGGGAGGCTTGGGGGGGGCTGTTCGTAGCAGCAGGGATTGAAAGTGGCTTCGTGTTTAAGTAGAAGAAAAGGAAAAGCTGCTCTAAACACAGCACTGGCAAACTGCAAGTGTTTTGTTAAAATGTGGTGGATGATGCTGCTTGTAAAATCTGATAGGTGTCATGTTTACTCCTCACATCAGATCGAGCAAGTACAGCTTTCTGTGCTTTGTATTCCACTTGTAGTAAGTTAAAGAAGGGGAGAGCGGAGCTGCTGGTGAGGAGCTCTTCAAACGGGGGTGATTACATCTGCAGTAGGACCCCTTACCCCAGCAGCTGTTTAGACAAGCTCTTAGGCAGAAGCTCTTCCCTGTGAGGGTGCTGAGGCGCTGGCACAGGGTGCCCAGAGAAGCTGTGGCTGCCCCATCCCTGGCAGTGTTCAAGGCCAGGTTGGACACAGGGGCTTGGAGCAAGCTGCTCTAGTGGAAGGTGTCCCTGCCCGTGGCAGGGGTTGGAGCTGGATGAGCTTTAAGGTCCCTTCCAACCCAAACCAGGCTGGGATATGATATTTAGATTAGAGGTACTGACAGGAGAGATCAGGGCTCACAGGCGAATATGGACCATGCAGGAGGGAGCGCAGGGGGGTTGCTGGGTCCCCTCTTGCAGGGAACACTGAAACTTTAGAAGGGAAGTTTTGGGAAGTTGCTGCTGGTTTTGCTCTGCACTGGGACAACACAAACATTTTAGCCAGGAATTGGTGTTTTCCCCACCAGTGGAAGATAGAGCTCTAAAACGGAGTTCATCACACCCAGGTACGCCTGAGCCAACTCTCATTCCTTCCCCCACGTTCCTGTGGTTTGTTTTTTTTTGTTCCTTCCCTTTTGCTACAGGAAATAAATACAAGTTTTAGGTGAAAGGATGAAAAATGCCATGCCCAAGCCTTCTTACTGTGCCGTGCGCATCTTCTTCTGTTCAGCCCCATTGTGGTGAGGAGACCGGAATCTCTGGTGGTTTAGAGTGCCAGGACCAGGTAGCACTTGCTGTGAAGTCAAGGTCAGGTTTTGTTACCAGAGCACAGAAGAATCAGTTGTTATTTAGTTTGTCCTACAACAAGTGATGATGCTTTAGGAGCCTGCGCTCCTCTTGTCTTGCACCGTGATCCCTGGTGATTTCTTAGGAACCCGGAATTGTTTTTACAGGAATAAACACCTGCAGTTTGTAAACTACTTTGTGTTTCTCCTCTCTGAGGTGGTAATGCTGGAGGGATGTCACACTGGGGAACATGATGGTGAGATTACAAAGATGAAGACTTCTCGTTCAGAATGAGGTACTAGACCTGTTGAGAAACAGGAATCCCATTTTGTCATGTTTATCTTCAAGGCAAGAGGGGCCTGAGTCCAGTTTGCTCCAGTCTCTACATTTGACTCCCTGCCTGAACGTGCCGTGTTGAGATGGTGAGATAGTCACAGGCTTTGTGGTTCATTTTGGTCTGTTGGGTTTGTTTTAGCTGGTCTGGTGAGGGGGGGACACGGTGGTGTGCATGGGAAGTTCTTGGTGGTACTGCTGGCTGAGTTGTTGGTGTTTTCTTGCCCTGTAATGATTTATTAGTGCCTGGGTTATATGATCCATGGGGTTATTAAAAAGAAATACAGCTGGAATAGTTGGAGGGGAAAAACGTGGGGTGGTACCAGAGTGGTCTGATGGAGAGGTTTGCACCTGTGTGTCCTGAAGTTCAATGCTGGTGGGATGGAGTTTGTTTTGGCTGGGCTGAGGTCTGTAATTACATGTCCTGCATGAGGAGGGGAAGCGTGGTATTTTCCTTCAAACACTAAAGCTGTGGTGCTGCAGAGGATGCCCTCAATGGTACACATGTCATCACATCGGCTCCGTTCCCATCACTGCCACTCATGGTTTTGGGTGTTTCACATATATGTTGTCTATGGAGAATTCATGCAGATCCTTAGGGGTGGACATGTAACCGCTGTCAGAGCCCTGCAGCGACCACGGGGAAGGCTTGGAATTGTTAGCACTGACTTTGGTGGAGCCATCAACCCCTCATGGAGGTCATCGGTACCGCTGCATTGTGGCATTGCCAACTTCAGGAATGTTTAGGGAGTTTTAATCCCATCCTGAAATTCCAGCCGGGAGCAGAACCTGCTCTGGGGGGTGCTGGAGGCTGGTCTCTGCTCTGTGGTTGTGCCAGGGTAGGACAGCCCCGAGGATGCCATCACGTTCCTGGGTCCCCCCGCTCCACAGGCAATGGGAGCTGTGTTCCTTTGCATTGCACGGTTATTTGGGATAATCCAGCCTTGTTTTTCAAATAGGTGGTCCTCCAGGTGGATCAGGGTAGGCACCTTGACGTGTTTCTGTAAAGTCCCATCTGCTCTGGGACTTGACTGTAAAATGCAAACAAAGCCCAAGTTACTCAAATACATCCGTGGTAGATTTTAGTTATTAATGACTTGCTCCTCCAGCCTTATCTGGCAGCAGTTCCATGTGCTCTTCAAGCCAATAAAAACCAGTGGGCCTGGTGAAAGTAACTGCCCTGCTTCCTTCTGGGCTTCTGCCTGTCCCTCCTGCCAGCAGAAGGGTTTATATGGTTAAAGCAGCCTGCTCAGTCATTGAATGTGGGGCTCTGCTTCACCCCCTTAGGTCCTCTTCCTAATCCCCACCAGCAGTCTGAGCAGCGATAGATGAGGAAGAACCTTTACCACCATGGTGACCAAATCAAGGTTGACCAAATCACACCCATCTTTGGACCCAGGTACCCTGGCTATTTGCAGGGATGCTGGTAGCAACCTCTGAGTTGATTTTTCACACCAGAACTGCCGTGGTTGCTCCCATGTCCATTAACTTGTGTAATGTTGTCAAACACTCAGCCACTATTTCTTTGCAACGTTGCATACCAATTATTACTTAAATAGACCCTGAAGCACAGCACAGAGGGAGAATGTGTGGATTAGAGACATAATATTTACAAGGAGCCAAGTCTTTAATGAGACCAGGAATAATGCAGATGGATTCTCCGTTGCTAAATATAACAGATATGGCATGGATGCTGCCTATCATTTTTCATAGTGACCCGTTCACTTTGGAAAAAGAGGAGCTTCTGTGCTGAGGAAGTTGGCAAAAAATCGTAGGATAGTCCAAAATGAGGCTAGCTTTTGGTTATTATTGTGGTAACTATAATGTACGGCTCTGCAAGGTATAAAGGACCCTGGCTGGGAGTGTGGTTGAACCACTTTGAGATGCTGGTGGATTTTGGGAAGAGCAGTAGGTGTGCAAGGAGGGCAGGGTCAGCCCCAAATGAGGTAGAAGGGGATGGAAATCCCCGAGTTTCCACACAGCTGACATACTTATGGAGCTGACAGCATCATTGTTAGGGTAGGAAATAACCAAACCCAACAATTCATCCCAGGGCTGACTCCTGCACAGACAGTGGGTGTCGTGCCGTGGGATGCAATGAGCGCTACAGGTCCTCAGCCTGCCCTGGTGGATATTCTGGATTATGTTTAGGGAACATGGTCCCTCCCTTCTCAAAACACAATTCCCTTTCTGCCCCACTGGTTTGTCCAGAAGGTTTCCTGGCTTTCCTGCATCTTTTCTCTTACTGCATCCCACATCGCTTACTTACATCTGCATATGTACCTGGCTGAGGCTTCCCCAGAGTGTGAGGTCTCTGTAGCTGCCTTATTCCCGTACAGGTGATTCACTAAAACACTTTGGGTGTGAGGAGCTCATAGTTTATGTTCCAGATGAAGATTCTAATGAAAGGTTGGCCTTCTGCAGGCCCCTTGAATTACTGCATCTCAGCTTTCCTCCTTGCTTTTATCAGCAAACCCTTTGGTTTTACGACGATACATGTGTGTGGGGAAGGGCCTTTGTTCCTGTTAGCTGGAGGGAAAACCCTGTAAATCCCCCTTTAAAAATGTGCTAGGCCAAATACAAGAGTAGTGATACCTGTAGAGCTGCCATAAAGTGTTGAGGGTTTTATTAGTTTTATGCTGAAAACCAGGTTCTGCCTGAGAGGGGATGTGGAGGAAATCAGCAATTTAAGCAAAGTAATTAGGCTAAATTCTAGATGTTACACTTAAAAGTTGTAAGACTTCAGCTTTGCTGTGATTAGTTCTGCATGAAATTAATTCAATATATGGGGAAAAACTCCACCTTTTCATTAGCTTTCATGATCTTGCTGTTATCTGGCATTCTATGAGCCCACAGCACAAGCTCCTGCAGGTTTTATGTTTAATACAAAAATGGTGCGGTGCAAGATTTGAGCCTAGAATTAGGGTATCCAGACACTCAGTATTAGAATACCTACCCTAACTTCAGTTCTTGCCCTCTGCTAGTAACAACAGTGTTTCTCAGATGAAATCCCTATTCTACCTATTTTCCATTCCTAGAAGGACACAGGGTTTTTATGCTCTGTAATGTTATTCCTAGGAGAAGAGCCAGGATGACATATTTTTCCCATCTGCAATGTCTGAAGAGCAGAAAGCACGTATCTATTATCTGGACAACCAAAGTTACGAGTATTAGAAAGAAGCAGCATAGACAGATTTGGGGAGAGAAAGTGCAGTTTCAGTTTTGTCTGGCCATCAGTTTGACGTACTTCTTGAATCTGTGCTCTCTTGGAGGTGACCCAACTTCACTAAATCCTAGTTCCAGCCTTGCTTGGAGTATGGAATCTCACTCTTGTTTAGCTCCAGGCACTGAGGTTGTGGCCAGTGATTTTTGTTGTGGTCGTTCCTGTAACGGAATGATGTATCAGGAGGGAGAATCTGGGCAAGTGGGTCTCTGCTTGCACATGTCACCTTCATCCATTGTCCTTCTGGGCTGTTTAAGGAGCTGGACACCAAGGTGAGGTGCACAGCCCTTACGATACAGTCAATGTCTGCACATCCAAGTGTTTGAGAGGGGAATCGAGAGCAGAGAACAGAAATCAGAGCTTGAGGAGAGAGGCAAAGGGATGCGGGGAGAAGCTGCGGCTGGTAATGATGAGAACAACAAGGAGTTTGTGTAAAATATTAGAAATACAAGCAGGTTACTAGGTGAAGTTAATAGCAAAGACAAAATTATTATGCTTGTTTGGCAGGAAAAGTGATGGTATGTTTAGAGACTGTGGTAGAAGTGAATGTCGAACAGCCGCTGCTTTAGTCAGACCTTTGAACATCAGCCCCGGTGTCTCTCTTTGAAGAGGGTTACAGAAGAAACAAGCCACTAATGTGTATTTTTTTACTAAGTCTTGAAATACTGGAGAATTCCCTGCAAGCTGTAGCAGTGCTCATGGTGTAGTATTATAGACAAGCAATAAAAGGGGCAGGCTGAGTAACAACAGTTCGAATCATTGGGAGGGGACTTGTTTAATGAAGGGGGGAAGGACAGTGATGCACTCCATCAGCGTGAGTTTAGGGGCAGCACACCCTTTAGAACTAACTTTTCTTTTTACATTTAAAGAGCTCATCGATGGGATTGAAACAGGGAACTACAGGGATTTCTACGAACTTAAAATTCAGCAAGAGATGCAGCTTGGTACAGCACCACTGTTTTGGCTGGGGATGTGCAAAACTGAGACTCAGCGGTGTCAGCTCTCAAAATACAGTTGTAAAATCAAAATGCAGTTGTAAAATCAGAAAGAATTTCCACGCATCCATTTCTAGCCGCCTCTCTGAGCGCTCATTTCTGGTCCTTACACTGCTTACTGTGTTTGTGAGCAGCCTGTGATAAGGCAGAGTCACCATGGCTAAAGCTTGAAATGTCACTAAGATTGGGAGAGTGGTAAACACTGAAAAGGAGTGACCGCTGGTGAAAGCAATTTGTATTGCCTGGATACAAGCAGGTAATACTTCTCAGATGGCCGGCTGTAAATCTCTCTGTCTGAGAGCAAGCAATGCAGGCCCTACTTCCAGGATGCCGTCTGGAGAAATCATGTCTGTATAGAGGAGCGAGGAGTCACGAGCCGGTGCTGCTAATAAGATATTATGGTCAAAGGTCTTGTGTGCTTCTTGCCTGAGTTTGCAGTTGGCTGCCAAGCTGGAAAAGGGATGTGGTAGCCTACGTGGGCCCAGAGACTGTTGAGGAGGGTCTGCGAAGAGCTCCGGGAATGCTGAAGGAATTGGGAAGGGATGCAGGGGAAGGGTCCAGGACCTCCAGCTGCTTGACTTATACAGGAGAGCCTTGAAGGTAAATTGATTAAGACAATTAGTGTTGTCGTGGGTTAAATAAATAAAGTCATAGAATCATAAACTGAATAATAAAGAGCTCTTGGGTCTAGTAGGGAGAGTTTTAACAAGACCCAATAGTTGGAAGGTGGAGCCAAGCAAAGGCTGTGGCTGAGGTTCATGTTTTCAGCACTGTTGATGCTGGAAGAGGCTGCTGAAGGCGCCGGTGGTTACTCCACATTGGAAACATTGAGTTCAGGGATATCTGTTCGCTGGAGTGAGCATCGCTCAAGCAGAGATGAATTTAGGTAAGTTAGTGTGCAGTGTGTCAGGCTGGAAATCACAGTGGTCTCTCCTGACCTCAAAATCCATGGGAGCCCATCATTTGAATGAGAGTGTCCAGATGCTTGCAGATCCCCCACACCAGCGTTAATGATTTTCTTCAAGAGGATGACTTGCAAAGAGACCTGAAGGTGCAGATTGCAAGATGTGACCTTCAGCACTCAGGGAAGATCATAGATCCTTCATTTCCCACCATTTCCCTTGGTGTGTCTGTCACAGGGATGAATTGCACCAACACCAGGTACTTGGCACTAGGTAGGAGTTAGAAGGGGCGGTGTTAGCCCATCTTATGGCTAATGCCTGGTCAGATGTGAACTACTTTAGGTACAGGAAGGAAATAGGAATTATTTTTTTTTTTGATAGTTGTGTGCTTTATGTAGTTGGGCAGAATTTAGTTAAACTCCAGATTTTGGGACGCCAGGAAAAACTCCAGCTTATGGAAAACTTCTCAGTAGAAGAATACAGACAGGAGCTCAAACTGACCAAAACAGCTCAAACCCAGGCTGAAAAATCACGTTGCTCAGGTCATGGCTGGAACAACCCAATGTGTTTGTGTGCAAAAGCATTTCTATTTTGAAGCAAGAACTTACATCTGGATGTTTGTAGATTTACTCTGCTTTTAGGTGAGTTTGCAGATTGGTCTGTAGGTCTCATCCATCATTCATGGATGAGGTTTGTGGGATTGCTGGGCTCTGGTCCGTGTTGTGCTTGAATATAAAGAAGCTGTCATGGCATGGGTGTTGTTTCAAATCGTCTTTGTGCATGTGTGTCTGTGTGTATATATATATATATATATATATATATATATATTCACACAGGTATATATCTGCTGAGTTTACACCGGGTTATTTTAGGTCTACAAGTTGAATTTCGTATAAGCCTACTTGCATAGAAAAGAGAAAAGCAACGTAGCAAGTCAGGCTCACATGGTAACACAGCTTGGGCTAATGCTATGAGTTAAGAACATTTAGACGTTTGGCTTTGTATGATTTAGCTTAAACAAACAAACAAACAAACGTTGCATTAATCTCATTAGTCGAGCAAATGAAATAAACCTTTAAGGCACTTAAAACATGCTGATATTAGTTAGCTGTGAGACCAGTGAGACCCGTTGCCAGAGAGCACATCTACTCCTGTGCATAAAGTTACTCACGTATGTAAATGCTTGCAGAACAGGGAGTTACCCCTGGAGTGGTGATGGAGCTGGCATGGCTGGATGTGAATTTGGTGGGAACTGCGGATGCAATGGGAATTCTTTAAACTTTCAAGATTTGGCAGCACAGGGTGCTGGGAAGAAAGATGGGGAGAGACCCTTTTAGTAGTGCCTGTAGGGACAGGCCAAGGGGAATGGCTTTAACCTGCCAGAGGGGAGACTGAGATGAGCTCTTAGGCAGAAGTTCTTCCCTGTGAGGGTGCTGAGGCGCTGGCACAGGGTGCCCAGAGAAGCTGTGGCTGCCCCATCCCTGGCAGTGTTCAAGGCCAGGTTGGACACAGGGGCTTGGAGCAAGCTGCTCTAGTGGAAGGGGTCCCTGCCTGTGGCAGGGGTTGGAGCTGGATGAGCTTTAAGGTCCCTTCCAACAGAAACCAGGCTGGGACTCTATGATTCTAATTGCATTCACCTACTTGAGGAGAAGTGGGGGCACAAAGGGTGAGGTTTTTTGCTACTGGGTCCAGGCACTGCTCACTGCATTGACAATGGGCATCTGTGTCTCTACATTCCTTCTTTATCCTTCCACTATAAAAGATGCGACTGCAAAAGTTCTTGTGGGGAATGTGACAGAAACCCCTAAAGCTGTCATGCAAAGCAATGTATTCCTATGCAGCACATCCTACATCGCTCTGGTACTGTGATGGATGTGACAAACCTAAGCCTGGAGAGGTGGGTTTTTAGCATCCTGAGCACTGCACTTTTTTTAGAGGAAAACATAATAATTCTATTAACTGGGACACATTAGGACAGGCCAGGAATTTTCTGTTGTCTTTCAGTTGCATTTGTTTGGGCTTTGGTTTGCAGAGGACTGAATGATGTGTCATGTTTATGAAATCAAGAGTACCTAGCTATTTTCGTACAGCTCTCTTAATAGAGATTAAACACAAAATAAAGCAGGATGCATCAACAGTGATATTCCCATAAGCAATATTGTAACTTGTATGCAGGGTAATTATATTTTGTACACTTGCCAATTAAGCAGTTACGCTTTAGTGAAAAATTACTTTCAAGAGAGGGAAGAAAAGTATCACAGTAAATCAAATAAAATATACATGTGTTGGAGGGTTTGGTGGATGCAGCTCGAAATGTTAAAACTTCCTGCTGTGTGCAGGATGCAGTACATGTAGCGATGCTCTGTGTCCTGCAGTGTTTTGGGCACTGGAAAATAGCAGATAGGGAAAAAAAGGCATAACAAATATGTTGCTTTGGGGAGTAGCTGTGTGCTACGCGAGACCAAGAGCTCGGGCAATCCTGCTCTCCATCTCTCCATCCTCGCTACTACTGGGCTCCTGCCCTACACCCTGCCCTGCAGTAGGTGTGGGTACCGGCCGGGTGGGCATCCCCACGTTGGGTCCATGCACCCCAAAGCTAGAGCAGCCACCTCGCAGCTCTCAGCCGCCCCTGCTTCTCTGGCATCTCTTACTTCCCTGTTTTGTTGGCTGGTGTGCTGGAAAAGGGCACTCAGATACATCAGTGTTGGGCTCTGGCTGGTTTTCAACTGTTTTCAAAGAGTTTAGTTCTTGCAGTTGTGTTTTCACCTGGTGTCAATGATGTGAGACCATTCTGAGCCCTGCTTGGGAAAAAACCCTCACAAAATGACCCACTGCCAACAGTTCTTGGTTTTCTGTTCTTCACCCTCATTGATGGCAGTGGCAGCAGGGAGACTGAGATGAGCTCTTAGGCAGAAGCTCTCCCCTGTGAGGGTGCTGAGGCGCTGGCACAGGGTGCCCAGAGAAGCTGTGGCTGCCCCATCCCTGGCAGTGTTCAAGGCCAGGTTGGACACAGGGGCTTGGAGCAAGCTGCTCTAGTGGAAGGTGTCCCTGCCCGTGACAGGAGCTGGGAGTGGATGAGCTTTAAGGTCCCTTCCAACACAAACCAGGCTGCGATTCTGTGATAATAAAAATACCAAAACCCAAAACACTTCCAAATGGCTCTGATGTCCTTTCCTGAACTCTCTAATACAAAAACAGCCTTGTAAGTTGGAGTGAGAAGGAAGCCAAGCTCCCCAGGTGTTTGCTTTGGAGGTGTGGCTGCATTTGTGAGGCACAAGGCTGGAAAGCGATGGTGCTCCCAGAGCTGTGGGAGCCAGAGCTCCCATCAACACATTGGGCTTAGGAGCCTGCAACCTTTGGAACACAATAATTTGTTATCTAAACTGCTAATGTTTTAAATGTTCATGTCTGAGTGTGCCTGGCATGGTTTATCGTTGCAGTGTTACAGATCTACACGCTTTCAATGATCTACAGAAGGTGTTTGCATGGAAAAAGCTTGTGATGAGAGTTTAGTTTGAAGATGACAAAATAAAGCAGTGTAATAAAATACCTTAAACTGTGATGTACAGCGGGGCTCCCAGATGCCCTCTGTCTCTGTTTTCCTGGCCACTGGCCCCTTCCCAATGTGCTGGCTCCTGCCTTTCCCTGCTGTGCTCTGAGTAGGATGCGGATGCTCTTGGGCAGGCTGTGATTCCATGCTCTGTCTCCACTCCATTTCCATGCCCAGTCCCGCTGCCAGTGATGAGCCTTTTACCTCTTTGTTTCTGCTGCTGTCACTTGGAAGGCTGCAGGATCGGTTTTGTTCCCCTCAAGTCCTGTGCAGTTGGTTCCTCAGGAGCCTGGCAGCCGAGGGGAGTTTATTTCTGTTGGGTTATTTTTAGCCCGATGCTTCTGGCCCTGCTGTTGATGCTGGCGGCCACTCTGCAATGTAATGGTGTGGAGCCGTGTAACACGGCGAGGCCCTGTCTGTGGGTTCCATTCTCTGGGACACAAACAGCAAATTTTGTCGAGTCTAAATCGTATTTAGCATCATTTCTTTTCCAACACCCTATCAGTAGCCTGCCTTCTGCTCAAGACACAGGACTTCGGTCGAGTTGCAGGGTTTCTATGTCACCCATCAGCTTCATCAATGCTTTATAACCTTTCCTCCTCTCCCTCCTACCAGCCTGAGCCTCTCTGCTAATTTTAATTTGAGAAGAAATAAGCCAAGGTATGCTCAGAGTAGAAGGAGATGATTATCACAATGGAATAATTACATTTTGGTACTTGATTTGATTTGTTAGCTGGAAGATTAGTCTGAAAGCAGAGAAGTAAATGAACGCATTGTTGACTGCAGGAAGTTATTTATGAGTTTTTACTTCTGTTTAAAGGAATTCCCCCTGTGACTTAAGTAGCAGTGCAATTTATGGTCTTTCACATGGGGTAGCTGAATAAATAAATAGAATAAAGGCAGGAAGAATGAAAAGAAATGGTACCAGGTTTTGGGGGTGTAAAGTTTCTGCTGTGGAATGCATGAAGCTATAGCTTTCAAACCCCAACCAGACACATCAACAAAAATAATGCCCGTGTTCCGTGATCCCAGTGTGGTTTGAGTTAATTATGGTATGGCAGGAGAGATGCTTGCATACTCACACCCCCTGTATGAGCTTTGTCTTATGTTTCTGTATTTTTTCCATAACTATCTTCATGTGATATTCCTTCCATGGCTGTTTATCCTATTCTTTATTCCATAAATCAAGCAAATAGCATGATTCAGGGGAGGGAAACGATGTCTGTTCTGGACATCTAACACTGGGAGCTGCTGGTGCTTTTTTGGTGTGATGGCTCTGTGGCGGATGGAGGTGGAGGAGGACGTGGGTCTGCTGGACATGGGTTAGGAAGCACTCAAGAAGTGATGAGGATGCTTGGACATGGGACAGGTTTGGACAGAACTGTGGAGGGGAGTTTGAAGCCATAGAAAGCTCATATGTGGAAACATAATTGAGAAGCCAATCCTAGTAGAGTTAATGAGTCTTCTGCTGCTGTCGTAGATGGCATGATGTTGGCATGGCCCTTCAGTGGGCCAGCCTCCTGCGATGTGTCTGTGCTGTGGTTGCTCGCCGGCAGAGCAGAAGCAGGCTCTCAGCACCAACCTTGTCTGTTAAACCTTGTCACCCCATACTTGCTGTGTTGATGCCGTGTCCGGGGTCAGCAGGATGCAGTAAAGTGGAAACAACGGCAAACCTCCTGCTCTGGCTCTGGGAAACGTCGGTGATGAGTGCGCTGATTCTGTCAGAGGAAATCAGGGATGCTCCTGCGCCTTGGAGCGCCGACAGAGCCAGGCTCTGCTCTTTGCACGCTGCTGGAGTGATGCTGATTTACACCAGATGCTTATGTGGTCCAAAATTGTGCTTCAGAGTCGCTGGGACATGGATCAGACTTGCTGTGCTTTCGGGAAGCCCATTGGGCACATCTCCTACCTTTTCCAGGTGGCATGTCAAGGTGTTGGCAGCAGCTGGGGGAGAATGTCAGCAGGAAAGCAACATGCTGACATCTCCCAAGGCTTCGTATCATGAGTACAAGCTTCAGGGTTTGGAGGTGTTCTCTTCAAGGGAGAACCTGAGATAGTCCCATTTACATCTTGGGTGTCTGGTTGCTCCTGCATTTGTGTATTACCATGTATAAAAGCAACTGGGCAAGCAGAAAAAGCAGAGGCAAGATACAAAGTTCCTTGCTATCCCCACATTGTCTTGGTCAAGGAGCACTTTCAAGGTGTAAGGAATGGGAACAACACTCCCTCAGCTAGCAAAAGGATTCATTGTCTTTGTGGAGATGGGAAAATGATTTGGAGAGGACAGAGGAGATGTGCTCTCACCTTGGAGTATGGTGCTTGCCATGTTGTTCAAGAGGCTGTATTAGTTTCCATGTGTGGTGTTAAGTTTATCCAGGTGTGAATGCTGTGGTGGATGTCAGGCAGGATCTGCTGTGGTGGTCCAGCTTGCATGGGTCATACAGAAGATGTGATTTAGGGAGCAATAGGAAGAACTCAGAGGGGTGGTTGGTGACATACTTTGTGTGTTTGAGAAACCCATCAAAAGGACATGCTTGACTCTGGTATTAAACTTTGATGGGTTTTATTTAAACATTTGACACCGATCATCAGTGTTGTTTCAGCAGAAGGTATTGGTAGATCATAAACCAGAGGGTAGCTGCTCACTGAGAGATTATGTATTTATAGTTCCAAAGGGTATGGTACATTCCTTTGGGAATTCCCAGAAATCTTGGATGCCCTTTGCAACGGGTGGTGGAGGGAAGGGTCAGGGGACTGGTGCAGTCACTTCATTTCCCCTCACAAGCTGAACCCACCAGTGTGTTTTTTCCATGGTGCATGGGCAAGTATTCAATGGAGGGGCACCTTGGGGAAAGCATCACGTGTCGTGGTGGGAGGTTGGGCATTGAAGGCCAATGCAAAGTTCCACTCTATCCTTAACTACATTAAACTCATTTATGGCGTGATGATGAATGTCATGTATGAATCCGCCAAGAAAATGCTGATGATGGTCCTGGCTATTTTTGAGCACTTTGGATGCCTTTTGAGGTGTGATCAGCGCAGAGTGCTGCCAGTGGGCTGCGTTGTGTCCCCGTTGCCTGGCACTGACATGCTTTCCCCAGTACTAACAGTCCCTTTAGTCATATTCTGATTTTTAAATACTGAGTGTAAGCTTTAAGTAAGCCAGAGTTGGTGCTGATCGTGATTTACGTTACGCTGGCCATGCTGTACTTTGCTGTGTTACGCACCAGAAAGTTGAGAACATTGAGATAAAGTCCTTCCATAAAGTGCAACAAATTCTCATCATCAAGGAGTAATTGGTGATGAGTTACTCCTTGAGTAATAACAGAGTACAAGTAAGATTTGATATAGCAATTGTAGCTTGATCTTCTGCACTTCATTACATTATCCCTGTGGTGGTAGGGAGAAATGGGAGGTGTACTTTATTTTCCAATTGGAGTACACTTGTTTGGGATGGCCTTGCTCTTCATGTGGCTTTGTGGGGGAGAATTTGCAGTCGGCATTTCCATTGATGCTAATGAGTGTTATGCCCATGCCCTTCACTGTCCTGGTGACAGAGGAGGAGAAATAATAATTGAATTCTTTGTCATCTAAAAAAAAGGAAAATGACCCTAAAACGTCCAGTCTGTCAGTAGGAAGTGACTGAGAGTGGGAGCTGCCTTCCTTTTGGTGCGCTTGAGCATTCACCAGTAGCTGAGAGGGTTTTCCTCTGTCCCTCTTCTCTATTCCTTAAAATAAATGGGGAAAAAAATCCAGGAATGCATTTAACTGGGGAGAATAATGAATAATGTAAGGATGGATATTATGATTATAAACCAAAACACACAGGTTGCTAACCTAAACTTGTCTGGCATGAGTTGCAGTCGGTTTTCTTTACTCTTATGATGAATCCCCTCTGCCATTTAAAGCCATTAGCTTTGGTGCAGCACCTGATCGAAAGTAAGCACAGTTAATATTTTTGGTTATAAATTTCAAGCATGCCAGTAAGAAATCATCAAAAAGTACAATTCTTCATGCAAAGCAACCAGAAATTCCTGTTAATGCCTGCACAAAACAAGAGGCAGGCTCTTTACCGGCAGCTGGATTTTGCCGGTTGGGAAGGGCTGGTTGTGTGTTGGAATTACAGCGAGCCTGGCGTTAATAGGAGCTGTTGTGACACATCTTTTGTAGAGGAGTCTATCGGAAGGCAGTGAGGAAAGGGCTATACTTAATCAGTATAAATGTCAGTAGCATATTTTAATAAATTCTTGATTTTGCTTGGACTGTTTGCAATTGCATATTTAAAAGGGATCTGCCAGCCCCTTTCCAAGGTATGTGACATTTAAAAGATCTGTAAAGAAGATTGGTTTGACAGCTTCAAATTACATTTGAAAGAGTTTTTTCCCTTTCAAAACAGAAAATGAATACTTCCTATTCTAAATGTCACGGCAAAGACATAAACATGTTTAATCAAATTATATATTTAATTTATGTAAAATGTAATTTTTTATTCATGCAAGAGGCTCACTTGTTACGTTTTTTCCATCTACGAAGCTTTACAAAGTTGGTGAACTGCTGAATCTCTTGAATAAATCACTGCTCAACCATTTTTCGAGTCTTCCAAAACAGCCATTGGCTTATTGTTGGATTTGCCCGCTTCCAGGTTATTTGTGTTTCACCCCAGGCTGCTGTGATGTTTTCATTAGCAGAATCATAGAATCCCATACTGGTTTGGGTTGGAAGGGACCTGAAAGCTCATCCAGTTCCAACCCCTGCCACAGGCAGGGACCCCTTCCACTAGAGCAGCTTGATCCAAGCCCTGTATCCAACCTGGCCTTGAACACTGCCAGGGATGGGGCAGCCACAACTTCTCTGGGCACCCTGTACCAGGACCTCACCAGTGCCGAAGAGCTGGTCAGGTCTTGCTGGGGTGAAAGGGCAACTCCAATGGGTTGTATTGAAGGACTTTTCAGGATGCCTTCATCTTATGACACCATGGTTACACACCAAGCTTGTTGCTTCTCTGCACCATCACAGAGGGCGAGGGCTGTTGGCCATTCTTGCATCCCCTTGTGTGGTTATCTCCTGGTGAACCAAAGTCACTGTGATGAAGCTGCTGGGTCAAACCCATGGGAGAGGGAAGAGGGAAAGCTGTTGCATTTGTTGCTCTGCACTCCAGTTTTCATGACATACGCATCAAGGGCAGATATCTGAAACAGCTCAGCAGGTTTTGAGCAGATAAGGAGCTTTGGCTCCCTCCTGGCAGGGCTGCTGGCCTCTGTGCTGCTGGGCAAGAGCTCACTGGAGAAGCTACCTGCTCATCTCTGCCTCTGCCAGCAAAGCCTCGTGGGTTGGAGCTGCCAGCAGCAGAGCCAGCGTCCAGCACCCACTGCCTTTGAGGATGGGTTGCTGCTCAACAGGGAAGATTGAGCAGTAATCCCAGGCGAGACCCCAGAGCAAAAGCCTGCTTTAAGCAGATGTGTGCCATCAGGTGGCATCACCCAGCTCAGGATGGATGGGTGCCTGGGTGCTTGGGCTTTCTTGCTGAGAGAGGAAGCAATGGAAAGGAATTAACAAAATAAAGCAAAAGCAGGGAATTC